TTGGAGAAGGGCCGAGGGCAAAAGATACAACACAGTGTATGTTTGATGGCAGAATTTTATTATTTGATCCGTGCCTAGTTATTTCTGCTGGTATTGTTAGTTTTTACCCAATTGCTCTGATTGAAGTCTGATTGGCCAGTGTTTGGCACATAACTGATAAATGAATAAGTGGATGGATGGATGGATGGATGTATCAGTGGATGGATGGATGAGATGAAGCTTGGGATGGTCAGACCTGCTCGGCTGATCTGAAGTGGTAGAATATTGGACACTTCCTTTTTATTCCCACGTCCCTTTGCTTTTGACCCCCTAATGTCCTGGTATTTCTTTTGTTGGATTCTTCGTGTAAAGAGGAATTTTTGAAATGAGAGGACTTTTTGAATGGTTAACTCCAGTAATATAATTTCAAGATAAAATAGGAATAATTTAACAAGAAATGTGGAAAATCTATATATGAAGAAAAGTTTAAGGGCTCCTGAGAGATTTAAAAGAAGCCTTGAATAAATGAAAAGGTATATACCTTTGTTTTAATTGAAGTTTAGTTGACTTGCAATATTATATTAGTTTCAGGAGCTAACATAGTGATTCAACAATTATGTGCATTTTGAAATGTTCATCACGATTAGTCTAATTACCATCTGTCACTGTGGACAATTATTACAATATTATTGACTATATTCCTTATGCTTTAGCTTTCATCCCCATGACTTATTTTATAACTAATTGGATGTTTGTACCTTTCAACCCCTTCACCTATTTTAGACCTCTCTACCCCACCCTTGGAAACCACCAGTTTGTTCTCTGTATTTATGAGTCTGTTTCTGGTTTTTGTTTTGTTTTGTTTTGTTTTTTCCCTTTAAAAATTTTAATGGCCAGGAAATGATATAGAATAACTGCCAAGTCACATAAATTAACGTTTTAAAGTTTATGATCCCAGAAAGAACACTCTATCGGTCAATGCAAACCGCATGGGAGTGTCATCAGTGGTTGTCTGGACACGTGACTGAGTGCAGGCCATGGACCCATCTTTATGTGGTCCAGGAAACATGGCGGCTGGCTTCAGCTCTCCTTCCACCTCAGGGGTGGGCTCTGCTCTTGGTCTTGAGATTCTCTGGGAAAGGTTGATCTGTTTTCACGTAGGTGACCTTTGACAGCTCTTTCAGGTCAGGTCACACCCAGCCCCGTTTGCCCCGCACACACTCGTCAAACTTGGCCTGCTGTTTGCGACACCAACAGAGTTAACCACAGGCTGGAATAATCAATGCAAGTTTAAGCTTCTTATTTTTATCGATTTTTTATTTTTTTAACTTTTTAAAATGTTTATTTACTTTTGAGAGAGAGAGAGAGAGCAGGGCAGAAGCAGAGAGGGGGAGACACAGAACCCGAAGCAGGCTCCAGGCTCCGAGCTGTCAGCGCAGAGTTCCAGCTCATAAACTGGTAGATCATGACTTGAGCTGAAGTCCCCGGCTTAACGGACTGAGCCACCCAGGTACCCAGGAAGGTGCTGCTTTGAATGAAAGTCCATCGGACAAAGGTCTAGAGTTCAGGGTGATGAAGGGTTCTCATCACCGGCTTGCAGGATGCAATGCACATCTTTTCCCTCTTGGCGCCTGTGATTGTTGATTCTTCCCTACTGGACACTCTTTGTTGGGGCCTGAAAATGACAGTTCTTCCTGTAATTGACGTTGGGTGGTAAGGGTTCCTCTTCTATCCTCTGGACTTTAGTGAAGTTTCCCTTTATTAATTATCACAGGCATTAAGAACAAGAGCACTGACTCCCCTCCCCCTCTCCATTCAACCACTAAAAGATTGTGCCCTCGTTGTTCCAAATTGCTGTCTGATATAACCGTTTCCTCATCACCTGGCTTCCCTCACCACAGAGCATGCAAACCCCTGCACCCCTCATTTCCTGTCTCCCACCACTCACAGCTCAGGTTTTTTTGGTGTGTGTTAATTTTATTTCTTGAGTGTGAGCTGCGTGCACTGTTGCTATATCCTATGCAGCCGTGTTGTATGCAGACGGACCGCTTGTGTGTCAGAAGTGAAAGCTGCAGACCCTGGATGCTGTGTGTGCGGGGATCCCTCGTAGGGCAAGGTTGTTCTTTGTGCTAACTACCCCCTGGGGTCTCATGCTGAAACCGGAAGGACTTGAGGAGCTATGCAGAGATGCCCTTGCTCTCTTGCCAAGATGCATGGGGGTGGATGCAGGGATGAGTGTTATTGTGGAAACAGACTAGAGTTGGGAAATGTATAATCTGGTGGGGCTGGGGTTTTGCACAATTTCTGAATTGTTTTGCAGTCTTGATGTCTATTTTCTTATTGTTCTCCCTTAGTCTAAAGTCCTTAGTCACTTTTAGCTTTCTCCTGAGTATGTCAAAATCAGTCAATCAATGAAGGACAGGTCTAGATGTTGACATCCATGTTTACATTTTTTTAAATGTTTTATTTATTTCTGAGAGAGAGACAGCGTGAGCAGGGGAGGGTCAGAGAGAGAGGGAGATACAGAATCTAAAGCAGGCTCCAGGCTCTGAGCTGTCAGCATAGAGCCCAACGCGGAGCTCAAACCCACGAACCGTGAGATCATGACCTGAGCCGAAGTCGGACGCTTAACTGACTGAGCCACCCAGGCGCCCCGCCATGTTTACATTTGTACCAGAGCTTAAAGAAGACGGTCCACCCCAAATGGACAGCATGGGAATTAGCAAAGTGAGCGACTCTGAGAGAATATATATATATATATGTATATATATATGTATATATGTGTATATATATGTATATGTGTATATATGTGTATATATATGTATGTGTATATACATATATATATATGGGGTGTCTTGATGGCTCAGTTGGTTAAGTATCCAAGCCTTGATTCCTTTTTTTTTCTAAAATGTTTATTCAATTTGAGGTGGAGGTGGAGAGATAGAGAGGGCTCATACACTCTAGGGATGGGGCAGAAAGAGAAAATCCCAAGCAGGCTCCACACTGTCAGCGCAAAGCCCAACTTGGGGCTCAGTCTCACAAACTGAGCCACCCAGGTCCCCCCTTGATTTCAGCTCTGGTTATGATCTCACAGCACAGAGCCTCCTTGGGATTCTTTCTCCCTCTCTCTCTGCCCCTCCCCTGCTCACGCCTGCGTGTTCTCTTTCTCTCTCTCAAAATACACAAACATAAAAAAAAAAAAGTCAGAGTGTGTGTGGGGGGGGGATTTTCTTCCCAGAGGGAAAGTTTGGCATGTCTGAATTTCACTAAAGGGAGGAGGCAATAGATACCACTTCCCAGTGTATGGTCTCCTAAACTCTTATATCACCTCCTTCATTTTGCCAGGAAAACCTCTGTAAATAGGTAGTTACTGATAATCTGCTTTCGCTTGTTTATTTTTGGTGTGTTTTGTGCTGCTAGGGACTCATAAACAACATGAAAGAAAAAAAAGTAATTTACTTCTTCATTTTGGTAAAGATAGCCAAGCCATTATCCTCTCAGTTCTAGGCTTTTCTTCCGTGAGGTTGTTCATTTATTCACGTGACATACATTAAGTGATTTAATAATTTGAGTATCCACTATCAGGCACCATGAGGGGCCGGAAGTACAATTGTGAGCAAATAAAGACAACAAAGGTCACCTTCAGGGAAGCTTGCAGCCTGGGGGAGGAGAGAAAATGGAATCCAATAAACAGCAATACATTTGAAACCTTGAGTGGGATCATTGATGTAGTGCCGTAAGGGCCTGGATCAGGAACGAGGGGTCTCTCACAATGCCGGGGAGAGCGGGGATCAGAGAAAGCTTCCTTGAGGAAGTTACAACTGATGGGAGACGGGATGGTTGACAGGAGTTACTCTTGAGAGAATAGGGAAAGAACATTCCGGGAAGAGGGCACGGTCTTTGTTTTGAAAGAACAAGCCTATCGAGAAATCCAGCTGGAGTTGCTTGCAAGATGGAAAGGAAGGTACTTGCTGATGCTTCAGGAGGGAGTCAGCTCTTCCAGGCCTGGAAGAAGGAGTGGGGTGGGGGGGTGGGGGTGGGGAGGGTTGCTGCAGGGTGTGGACTCCTGGACCTCGATGGAATGCCACGTATCAGAGGTGGGTGAACACGTGGGCCTTGGAAGCATGGAACTTTGCAGTGAGGGTCCCTGGGCCTCCCCAGCTGCCTGCACCCCAGTGTCTGAATGAAGGGAAGGATGACCCCTCCAGGGCTAATCTCACACTCACACAAAACAGTGGAACGACACAGTAATGACAGACGGTATATGCGGTAGCCGGCACCTTTGTGTCTGCAGCTAAAGCACTTAGGTTCAATTTCTAGCTCCGTCAAAGGCTTTTCTGCCTTGGGCATTACTTCCATGGGCTTCAGTTTCCCCACCTGTAAAGTGGGGATAAGAGCATCTATCTTATCAAGCGGTGGGGAAGATTTAAACTGGTTAATGCTGGGCGCCTGGGTGCCTCAGTGGCTTAAGCGTCCCGGCTCCTGGTTTTGGCTCGGATCATGATCTCACGGGTCGTGAGGTCAAGCCCTGTGACCGGTTCTGCCCTTGGCAGCACCGAGCCTGCTTGGAGTTCTCTCTCTTCCTCTCTCTCTGCCCCTCCCCTGCATTCTCACGCTCTCAAAATAAGTAAACTTAAAAAAAAAAAAAAACTGGATAAGGTATGTTAAGTTCTTACAATAAGTCACAAAGTAAGTGCCACATACACATCCAGGACTTCTGGGGGGGAGGGGAGGAGGGAATAGTTGGATGTGAGACCCTCCCCCTCCTCCGATACCCTTGAACTCCTTAAGCCCCCGGGGGCTGCAACAGCCTACAGGAGCAAGAGAGGTTTCCAAAGTGGGCTGAATTTCCAGCCTAACTAGGAAGTGGTTGAGGTCTGGGACCAGAAAACAAATGTTAAGGTACCATTTTTTTGCACCCAGGTTCTCAGACCACTTCCCGTTCGGATCCCCGGGCACGCCCGGAAGCCAGTCGGCTGCAGGGAAGGAAGCGGGCGGTGAGCCTGAATCCAACGGAAGAAAGATGAGCCTGAGCGCTGTTCAGGGAAAGCAGACGCGTGCAGCCACCTGGGGCACCGACTCCTAGAGACCCTCACGCCATTCCCTTGGGCCACCCAGGCAAAGCTCTCCGTGGTCGTTGCCTGGGCACCCAGCTGACCATGTCTGGAAAACAGCGGTGTCCACCACTCGAACTGCTCTGTCCTGAAGCTGTGTGATCCGGCAGGACGAAAGCAGGTAGTAACCCACGACACCTCGGGGAAGCTCACAAAGACGCAGCAAGCCACTGCCCCCTGCCCCTCCGCGGGCGCGCAAAGCAACCTTCGCTGGAGGACAGACAGGCGCAGGGGTGACCCTAGCAGCCAGGCTGGGTCTCCGGCAGGGGCCGCTGCAGCCGGGCAGGTGGCCGGCCCGCCCCGCGGCCCCCGCGGCCCGCCCCCCGCGCCAGGGCCGCCGCTGCCGTCACCGTCCCCGCCTCCGGCAGGTGCGTCCCCGCGCGGCCCGCGGGCTCGGCGGCCGTCCCTCCGCTCCCCGCAGGGGTCCCGGCCCAACACGGAGCAGAGCGGACGCGAAGCTCGGCGGGCCCTTTCCGGCGGGGAGGGGGAGGGGGAGGGGGCGGTGCCGGGGGCGCATGCGCGCTCGCCTCTTCCGGGGCCCAGGACGGGTGGGAGGGCAAGGGGGAGGGGAGCGGGCCTGGCTCCTGCGGGAGGACCCCCGGAGGCTCCCGGGCTGGGCGGAGGCCCTTGCGGAGCCCCGAGCCCGGTGTGCGCAGCTGCCGCCCGACAGCCGAGGGAGGGGGCAGGAAGCGAGGTTCAAAGTCACGCGGCCGGAGCAGGTGGGCCTGGCGGGCCGCTCTGCAGGGGGAGCCGCAGGAGGGCTCCCAGTGGAGCCAGTGTGGCCCCAGCGGCAGTCCGGGTCGCAGATTATGGTGGCCCTGGGCCGGGCTGGGGGTGTGAGATGTGAAAGGGAGAGGTCAGGTTTAAGGAGAAGATGCCTTAAGGCTTTGCGGGGAGAAGGTGTGGGGAAGGTTCTGGAGCTCAGGCGTGGCTGTGTGAGGTGGGAGCGCCTGTTGGACCTTGAGGGGTGGGGGGGATGGGAGACCCAGAGACGTAGGAGGAAAATCTGGGAGGTGTGGTGCCTGGAAAGCAGAAGCAGCACATGTTTCCTGTAGAAGTGATCAAATGGGTCAGAGGCTGGATGTGGCCAAGTAGGAGGCTCTAGATGACCACTGGGTTTAGCAAGGTGGTTGGAGGTCGCTCATGGCCTTGACAAGAGCCGTTCGTAGAGGGGAGAGGGCATAAGTGTGCTCGTGGGGACTGGTACATTGCACTTAACTCCTAGGGTTTCCAGAAGTATTCACTTGTGTAAGTTTTTGCAGTTCCTTTGCAATATACGTCTGTATTTTAAATCAGTGTTTTTCTCTTGAATTCCTGACGTATCCTTTCATTTATTGTATTTTTCAGAATTGAAAAATACACAGGCAGCATAGAAACATTTTTCTTTTATTCTAATTCAGTAGGTGATTTCCAAAGTCTGGTTAAACGGGACCATCATTCACCCAGAGTAATGTTAGTGTTTGGGGAATCAGTCCTGCACCCAGAAAGTTCCCAATGACTGATGAATGAGTTTATTTCTCCCCTGTGGTCTGTCTGCCCACCCTAAAGATAAAAGGTAGAGTAATTGAGTTCTCTATTCTCTGACTCCTTACAGTGGTGGCCCGTGCTGCTTGGAAGAATTTGCTTTTACACTTGAAGAAGGTTGTATGCTTGTAGGTTAGAGCCACTGCTCACGCCCCTCCACCCCCCCGAAAAGCAGGTAAATGTTGGCACAGAAGAGGCTTCCAAGAAATACTTGGTGGGAGTATCTTGAAAATAGTCGTACGTTCTGAGCATTTTCAATCCTGGAAGTAAATTTCAGGTGGCACTGTTGTATTTAATCTCTACTCTGCACATTCCCTGAACGGTTTGCAGAACATCTTTTAAATGAACCGACAGTTTAGCAAAACGGTTCCCACGTTCATTAAAAACATCATGTGAAATGTTCACCAATAAAACAGGAAATACAGTGGGTTTTGTGAGCCCAGAAATTATCTCACTGATTCATTACTTCAGATAGACAATGAGAAACTTACGTTCTGAGATGCCTGGGTGGCTCACTTGGTTAAGTGTCCGACTCTTGATTTTGGCTCAGGTCATGATCTCACGGTTTGTGAGTTACAGCTGCATGTCAGTATCTGCGCTTTAGCTTGGGATTCTCTCCCTCTTTCTCTGCCCCTCCCCTGCTAGTTCTCTCTCCCTCTCTCTCTCTCTCAAAATAAGCATTAAAGGGGCACCTGGGTTGCTCAGTCGGTTAAGCATTCGACTTTGGCTCAGGTCACGATCTCACGGTTCATGGGTTCGAGCCACACGTCAGGCTCTGTGCTGCCAGCGTGGAGCCTGAGGCCTGTTTCAGATTCTGTGTCTCCCTCTCTCTGCCCCTCCCCTGCTCATGCTCAGTCTCTCAAAAAAATAAATGTTAAAAAAAGCATTAAAAAAAGGAAAGCTTAGATTCTACTAATAATAAATTAGTATGATAAAAGATTTGAAATACAAAGAATATACATGTTTAGAAAGTATTTTAATTGTCTTATAGTTCATGAGTGTGCGTGTGTGTGATTAGACATAATTCACATAAGGTAAGAACTAAAGCCATCTTCCCAAGAAGTACTTGCTCATTGTATCTGGCAAAGTATCTGGTAACTAGTAATTTTTGGAAATACTGAAACATGAGCGGATAAAACTTTTTTCTGCTTTATGATTATTATTGAGAGAGAAAGAGAGAGAGTCCCAAGCAAGCTCCATATTCCATGTGGAGCTCACCTTGGGGCTCAATCCTAGGACCCTGGGATCACGACCTGAGCAGTTATCAAGATTCTCCCCATCTGGCCCTTCCCCGCTCACTCGGGCTCTCTCTTTCTCTCTAAAAATGAATAAACATTTTTTTAAAAGATAGGAGAAAAGATTTGTTTTCCTTCCATAGCTAACCAGTAGAAGACTCATCATTGAGACCATCATGCAAAACAGCTGAGGACAAAGAACAGTATTATCAGCTGCTTTATGTTGCCGTCTCTGTTGGCTGGATTTTAATTCCTTAAAATTTTAAAAATTCTTGTTTTTTCTTAAATATTTTTATTTATTTCTAGGAGAGAGAGAGAGAGACAGCATGAGCAGGGGAGGGTCAGAGAGAGAGAGAGAGACACAGACTCTGAAATAGGCTCCAGGCCCTGAGCTGGCAGTCAGCACAGAGCCCGATGCGGGGCTCGACCCCACGAACCGCGAGATCATGACCTAAGCGCAAGTCGGACGCTTAACTGACTAAGCCACCCAGGCGCCCCAAAAAATTTTAAAAATTCTTAGTGACTTTGTAAAATGTTTGTTTATTTTGAGGAAGAGAGAGAATCCCAAGCAGGCTCCCTGCGGTTACTGCAGAACCCAACACAGGGCTCGATCCCACGAACCGTGAGGTCATGACCCAAGCCAAAACCAAGAGTTGGCCTTTTAACTGACTGAGGCACCCAGGCGCCTCAAATTCCTGGTGACTTTTAAAACCCTTCCTCCAGGTCTGAGAAACAACTATAACCATTTATTCCAAAGTTAGCGAGGTGTCTTTGATGAGAAGTAGGCTAAGCGTTTGGTCGTATGGACGGACTACAGTGTTTTTACCCCTTTATAAGCTGGTGGACGTCGAGTTTGCGTCCCTATTTTTGTCCTGGCGCTACGTGATGGGCGCTGGTGTTCTGCTGTGGCACAGAAATCATTTCATAGAACACCAGCGTCACACGAGGCTGCCCTGTGACCACGGTGAAACAGGACCAGACACGGTTCGGTAATTAGGTCCGAACCCAGACAAACACAAGAAGGTTTTCTAAGTCACAAAAATGACCAAACATTCTCCTAACCTGGGTGATCTCAGAGGCCACAGCTCTCTGACCACTCCTGGTTCTAGCCAATTTTTCTGTGTTGCACCTTGTAGGTAAGATTCACTAAAATGAGCACCGCATCCCCTTCTCTGTCCCCACCCAATCGGGGACACTGCCTTCCTTCCATGAGCCCTCCCTGACCTTCCCCAGGCAAGCGTCCTAAATCCTTTCTAACGCTGTTCCTGAGACGCGCTGTAGGTCCCCATGGTGCGTTTCTCTCTCCTTGCACCCTGCCGGCTACAGGTGTGCTTGCACACTTTCCCTGGAGAGCACTCACGCTGGAAATGACACGCGAGTACTTGTAGTGAAGGTCCCTGCTTCCCCTCTCATCTCCAAACTTCCTATTTCCCACCCCGCGTCCCACCCTTTGTACTAATTGGGAATTCTTCCATTTTTTAAAACATGAATGCAAATAAGTACGATGGTCTGTACTTCTATCTCCTTCCCTTTCTCCTATGGAACAGTATTTGCATCTGACTTTTTCCCCCTCAACGTTGTATCTTCTAGACGTGTCTATCGAGGTTGTAGAGAATGCCTTGGGGCATGTAGCTGGGTCAGTCAGTAGAGCAGGGACTCTTGAACCTGGGTTGTGAATGCAAGCCCCACGTTGAGGGTAGAGCTTACATTTGGAAAAAAAAAAAAAGATTAGAATGTCTTTTTTTTTTTTTTTAATATGTGACATCTGCACATTGGACTGATTTGTGGAATTAAATACTCTGATTTGGCACTTACTTATTTTTGAGCCTCATCTTCCAGAGAGTTATTTTTAACCTTTCTGAACATCCTCTGCTCAGCTGATACTAGCCCTCACTTCTTAAATTTTTTTTTATGTTTTATTTGAGACAGAGAGAGAACATGAGCAGGGGAGGGGCAGAGACAGAGAGGGAGACACAGAATCCAAAGCAGGCTTCAGGCTCTGAGCTGTCAGCATGAAGCCGGATGCACGGCTCGAACCCACGAACCGTGAGATCTTGACCTGAGCCAAAGTTGGACGCTTAACCAACTGAGCCACCCAGACACCCCTAACCTTCACTTCTAAAGTCAGGGAGCTACTTGCTTATAAATACTGAATCCACCAGCAAATCACATGTAATCACTTAGTTCATTTTTATTTAATTGTAGTAAAATATACCCAACATTTAGCATCTTAACTATTTTTAAGGGCACAGTTCAGTAGTGTTAAGTAGGCACATTCACATGGTTTTATAACCAGTCTCCAGAACTCTTTTTTTTTTTTTTATCTTACAAAACTGAAACCCTATACCCATTGCTTTTATTTTTAAACTATTTTCTAGTTCACATGCAGGAAAATTAACCCTTTTTTAGTGTGGTGTTCTATGGGTTTTGACAGACAATAATCACGTAACCGCCACCATAGTCAAGTTGAAGGACAATTCCCTCTCCCGCCAAAATCCCCTCCTGCCCCTTCATGCTCTCACTCCTCCCTGCTCAGGTGACCACCGACATGTTCTCTGTCCCCATAGTTTTGTCCCTTTCAGATGTCATATTGGGAGAATCCTACGTACCTCCTTTTGTGTCAAGCTGCATATTGTGAATGTGCCATTGTTTATTGAACTCATCCCCCGTAGATGGACAGACAGGTTGTTTCCCGTCTCTTGCTGTTAATCACGTTGATCTAAAGAACAACCCTGAGGATTCCTCATTTTGGATGTGGGCAAGTCTCACCGTTTTAAAAATTTCCTCACTTGGGATTGGTAGGCCAAAGGGAAAATGCACTTGTAATCTTGATCGGTTGTCTTCCAAAGCGATTATAAAGTTTCGGTAACTGTGTTTTTTTTCTCTTTTCTGGATCTACAGACCTTTAATTCTGAGTCCACCCAACAGTTTCCCCTCTAGATGGAAGTCAGCCCTGCCCATTACTCTTCTGATGTCGGTGATCCAAATATTGTCTTTCTCTGTGTCTGTTTGTCTTTTATAAATTTCCGCAGGGATGGATAAAAATTTACGAAATGTGCTTTAAGTCACAAGTTCCTTTGACTCGATGTCATCTTGATTCTCTTCGTTGCCGTAGTTTATGTCTTCCCTGCCAGGTTCTGTTCTCGGTTAGAATTTACATTCTCATGGAAACTCCATTTTGACCCTAAGTTGAGAAGACATACTTTTTTCCCTTACCTTTTCATACCTCTTAAAAAGCAGAAGAACTTGTTTTTCAAACGAATTCTCACATCTTACCCCTTCCCAAGCCTCTAAGGCAGTGGATCTCAAACCTGAACATTCATCAGAATCAACTTGGAGCCGGATGGGGGCTCCACCTGCAAAGTTTCATATCCAGTGGATCCGCGGCAGAGCCTCTACCTTTGCAATTTCTAGCAAGATCTTCAGGTGCCGCTGCTGGTCTGGGGACCCCTCTTTGAGAACCATTGCCCCAGGGCACCTGGGAGAGCTTGAAAACACAGACTGAAAATAATTGGTTTAGAGGATGCCTCCCATCAAGACCTGTTCCTAATAGGGGCACCTGGGTGGCTCAGTCGGTTAAGTGTCTGACTTTGGCTCAGGTCATGATCTCATAGTTTGTGGGTTCAAGCCCCGCATCGGGCTCTGTGCTGACAGCTAGCTCAGAGCCTGGAGCCTGTTTCAGATTCTGTGCCTTCCTCTCTCTTCCCCTGCTCATGCTGTCTTTCTCTCTCTCTCTCAGAAATAAATAAAAAACATTAAAAAATTAAAAAAAAAATCTGTTCCAAATGATTTTTGTCAGGGGTGCTCTTACTTTTATATACACGTGTAGAAATACAAGTTGATTGTTTCTGTTTGTGTCTGTGTTTGTTCTGAAGCCCGTCTCAGGAGTGAGTGCTACAAAGAAAACCTGATGCAACCTCACCAGATTGTCCCCTGCCGATTACTCTCCTGGCTGTACAGTGGACTGAAGTCTCCAGCCTCCACCCGAACCCGGATCTGCCCGACGATGGCTCGACCAAGTTCAAGTAAGTCTTTCTCAGCCTAGCCACTCCTTTATCTCTGGTGGAGTTTAAAGTACCTGAGCGTTTTTACACGTTGAGGGGTAATGTCTGGAGTGGAGTGGGTGCTGGGCAAGATTTTGGAGAAAGCCACGCTGCCCTCCTTCCCTCAGCCAACCCCTTCCAGGTCAGGATCTGGGGTCATCTCTTAGTAGTCAAGTGCAAGTCCATTGAAGACATTGTATTGCTTCTCCCAGGCTGTTTGCATTCAAGCTTCTCACATAAGATTTGCATTGGAATTTTTTTTTTAATGTTTAATTATTATTGAGAGAGAGAGAGAGAGAAAGAGAATCCTAAGTAGGCTCCCAGCTGTCAGTGCAAAGCCTGATGTGGGGCTCGAACCCAAGAACTGTAAGGAAGAGTTCCCTTCCCTTCCCTCCTTTTTCTTCTTTTAAGATTTCGCACCACATTAACAGTATTATATTTTACATCCTGTTTTCCAAGAACCAAACCTGAGTTGCCCTTTTTGTTTCTAGAAATTGCTTCAAGTGCGACCTGAATAGGGGTTGCTTTGACCTGGAATCTATTCATCAGTAGGATGACAGAGGTTACATTTCAGGTGAAAAAGACCATTAGGGCTGAGGAAAGTTTTACAGGTGAACTTTGAACTCCTTGAGGATATTTGTAGGGTTTGAACCCAGGAGTCACACAAAGACTTGGGTTCTTTGTGTGCAAAATACTTGTACATTTTCTTCCGAAGCATCTAGTTCGTTCAAGAGATTAGATCAAACTGTGCACTCGAATCCACCCAGACTGGGTTTCTTCTCTCGAATTCTTCCTGGTTGGTCAGCTTTAGTGGGATCATTTCTCTCACTATCTCTGGAAGGGGCGTGAGTGTGGACTGAAGTGTGGCATGGCTGGCCAGTGGCTGGGCCGGTCACACCCCAGGAACAGTGTGCCTGCACCATCTTCAGTCCTTTGAGATTTAGGCTGTCCGAAACGTGGTCCCGGAGAAGCTTCAGGAATGCAGTGGGAGAGGGTCACACATCAGGCCAGATGGATAGCATCTTCATGACCTAAGAATCATTTTTATTTGCGTTTCCTAAAGTATAATTTCATGCCAGGTCAAACCAAAATATGAACGATTGATATAGAAGATATATATCAGACGGTACCGTGGATTTATAAAGATTTTATGCACTCTTTAGGTATGGCTGATTTTCGGAAATTCTTTGCAAAAGCAAAGCACATAGTCGTCATCTCGGGGGCTGGCGTTAGTGCTGAAAGTGGGGTTCCGACCTTCAGAGGAGCTGGGGGCTACTGGAGAACGTGGCAGGCACAGGTGAGTGGGGTTTCCGGAATACCGAGAGGCTCTTCTGAAGGAAGCGGAGATAGAGTTTGACTTAGAGCCTGATGTCTGGCCCATAGACAAAAGCTTTGAAATTGACCATGACTCTTCTCATTTATTTTGGCCTCAACACAAAGTCTCTATAATTACGGTCTCAGGCATAAGCAACGCAGCTACTTTTTCTTACTTTCTAGATATGTATAGATTGCATTGATTCATGTCAAATTTCGATTTCTTCTAGTACTTAAAGTGGAATCAGAAAAGTCGTGATTAGCATAGTTCATTACTTTTCTATAGATTAATTATGAAATTAAGTATTACAGATTTTTTTAAGTTTATTTATTTTGAGAGAGAGAGGCAGCACGAGTGGGGGAGGGGCAAGGGGCGGGGGAGAGAGAATCCCAAGCAGGCTCCCAGCTGTCAGCATGGAGCCTGACACGGGGCTGGAACTCATGAAACTGTGAGATCATGACCTGAGCTGAAACCAAGAGTCAGAGGCTTAACTGACTGAGCCACCCACGTGCCCCAAGTATTACAAATATTTAAAGTTCCTGTGAACTTTTCATATTGGAAACCACAGTCGCACTTTCGAAGGCTTAGGGCTTGACATTTAAAAACTTTATACAGGGGCACCTGGGTGGCTCAGTAGGTTAAGCATCCGACTTCAGCTCAGGTCATGATCTCGCGGTTCGTGGGTTCAAGCCCCGCGTTGGACTCTGTGCTGACAGCTAGCTCAGAGCCTGGAGGCTGTTTCAGATTCTGTGTCTCCGTCTCTCTCTGACCCTCCCCGCTCATGCTGTCTCACTCTCTCTCAGAAATAACTTAAGCATTAAAAAAAAAACACTTTATACAAAGGTCATTAGAATGGAGACTCTGTGGGCATGGACTTTTTTAAAAAATTCACTTGTATTAAGGTATCATATACAGTTGACTCTCAAACAACACAGATTTGAACTGTGCACATCCACTTATGTGTAGGTTTTTTTCTATATATATTGTAAAATTTTTTTGAGATTTGTGACAAGTTGAAGAAACTCACAGATGAGCTGTGTAACTTAGTAATATCTAAAAATCTAAGACAAAGTTAGGCATGTCATGAATGCGTAAAGCACATGTACGTACTAGCCCGTCTTTATCATTTAAAAAAAATTGTTTTTAATGTTTATTTGTTGAGACAGAGAGAGGCAGAGCATGAGTGGTGAAGGAGCAGAGAGAGAGGGAGACACAGAATCTGAAGCAGGCTCCAGGCTCTGAGCTGTCAGCACAGAGCCTGACGTGGGGCTCGAACTCACGGACCGCGGGATCATGACCTGGGCTAAAGTTGGACGCTTAACCGACTGAGCCACCAGGCGCCCCAGTCTTTATCATTTACTACCATTCAAATTTATGGTAAAGAGTTAAAATTTATCAGAACTTCGGCACGCAAATGCAGACCATATTTGGTGCCATTCTTAGTCTAGAGTGATGTGAACACACATGAAGGTGCAGTATTAAATCACAACTATGTAAAATGAACTGTGGTGTACCCTGTGCCGCTGTAATAATTCCGGAGCCACTGCCTACGGCCGTTGATGTGACCTCAAATGTTGCAAGTATCCGCTTAAAATACGATGTGACACAGGGTGCCTGGGTGGCTCAATGGGCTAAGTGACCAGCTCTTGATATTGACTCAGGTCATGATCTCACAGTTTGTGGATTTGAGCCCCATGTTGCCGTCAGCCCAGAGCCTGCTGGGGATTCTCTCTTCCTCCCTCTCTCCCTCTGCCTCTCCCCCACGTGTGTGCCTGCGCGATTGTTTCTGGTAAACATTGAGTAACACTAGGGGACCCGTGTCAAGTGCCACCAGTGGTGTGGGAATTGCTCCTAAGAAGCAGAGGAGGGTCATGACTTTATGAGAAAGAGCTGAGTTTCTTGATATGACCCGGAGATTGAGGTCTGCAGCTGCAGTGACCCACCATTTTAAGATAAATGAATCTAATAAGGTCCATCGAAAAGAAAAAAGAGGCGCGCCGAGATGGCTCAGTGAGTTAAGCATCCAGCTTCGGCTCAGGTCATGACCTCATGGTTTGTGAGTTTGAGCCCCATGTCGGGCTCTGTGATGACAGTTCAGAGCTTGGAGCCTGCTTCAGATTCTGTGTCTCCCTCTCTCTCTCTGCCCCTCCCCCACTCGTGCTCTGTCTCTATCAAAAATCAATAAAACATTAAAAAATTTTAAAAAAGTAAAGCATAAAAGGAAATTCATGAAGCCATTGCTGTAGCTATACCAGCAGGCACAAAAACCTTGCACTTTTGGTGAAATATCTTTTTATCTCATATTGAAAATGCAGCTTTTAGGGCGCCTGGGTGGCTCTGTCAGTTAAGCATCTGACTCTTGATCTCAGCAAGGTCATGATCTCACATTTTGTGAGTTTGAGCCCTGCATTGGGCTCCATGCTGACAGCGCGAAGCCTGCTTCGGATTCTCTCTGTCTCCTCTCTCTGCCCCTCACCCACTTGTGCTCACTCACTCTCAAAAATAAATAAACATTAAAAAAAGAAAAAGAAAATGCAGCTTGCATGTGGGTTCAGGAATGCTGTACGAAAGGTATACCTGTAGACTAATCTGATTTGGGAGAAAGTGACATCTTTATATGACAACTTAGAGCCCAAAGAAAGGAAAGGACCTAAAGCTGGAGATTTCACTGCAGAAGATGGTTTGATAACCTCAGAAAGAGGTTTGGCTTTAAAGAATGCCAAGGTCGGGGCGCCTGGGTGGCTCAGTCGGTTGAGCATCCGACTTTGGCTCCCAGTTCGTGAGTTCAAGCCCCGCGTTGGGCTCTGTGCTGACCGCTTGCTCAGAGCCTGCTTCAGAAGCCCTTGACTTCTTTTCAACACGGACTTTTGCACTGACCCTAAAGCAGATGGTGGAGGCAGAATTGGTACCGTATAGAACCCTTTTCAGAGATGTGAACAGGTGAAAACGTTGGGCAGAGATTACAATGTATTTCTACAAAGTTACACCTGGTGTGCCTGCCTCTCCCACCTCCCCTTCCACCTCCCCACGTCTTCCTCCCCTGATGCCGCTGGGACAGGGAGACCTCCCCTCCTCCTCCTCCTCCCCCTCTTCGGCCTTCTCAGCAAGAAGGCGATGAGGATGAAGTCTTGATGATGATCTGTTTCCACTTAATGAATAATAGATACTCACCATCCATACAGTCGATACACCAGTCCATCGTGTGTGTGTGTGTGTCTTCGTGTGAGAATCTGATAACCGTGGGCCACAGACCTTAGGAGGTGTTTTCTGTTATCACCGTCATCACCCAGGAATTCGTCGTATACGGCGTCATGTGTAGACTTGGTGGAATTGCGTCACCTACCCTTATGGGGGCATAAAGCCAGTGATAGTTAATGTGATATGGATAAGGTGTTCGTTTTCTCACTGTTTGCAAACTTTGCTTGCCAAGAATTACGGTACACTACAGTGAAAAAAAGTAAGAGTGTTTCTAACACTGTATTGTGATTATGATTGTAATGCTGTATGCCAGAAAGGTATTATAAGCACTCCTAGCTTATGGGCCAGCTGCCGTGAAGCAATCTTTTTTTTTTTTTTTTTTAATATTTTTATTTATTTCTAGGAGAGAGAGAGACAGCGTGAGCAGGGGAGGGTCAGAGAGAGAAGGAGACACAGACTCTGAATCAGGCTCCAGGCTCTGAGCTGGCAGTCAGCACAGAGCCTGACACGGGGCTCGAACCCACGAACCGTGAGATCATGACCTAAGCGAAAGTCGGACGCTTAACTGACTAAGCCACCCAGGCGCCCCTGCCGTGAAGCAGTCTTATCCCTTATGCCAGGTACCATAAAGCAGTCATTGCTCCGGCTTCATTATCGGCGTATGAATTGTTATTTATTTATTCATTACATGATGTATGTATTCATTACATGAATGAATATGAATTTTTTCACAGTAGCTTTTATTTTTTTAATGTTTGTTTATTTTTAGAGAGAGTGAGCATGTCCACGAGTAGAGGAGGGGCAGAGAGAGAGAAGGAGAGAAAGAATCTCAAGCAGGCTCCCCACCCAGCATGGAGCCCAATGCAGGGCTCCATCTCAGGACCGTGAGATCATGACCTGAGCTGAAATCAAGAGTCTGATGCCTTGGGGCACCTGGGTGGCTCAGTCGGTTAGGCGTCCAACTTCAGCTCAGGTCTTGATCTCACGGTTCGTGAGTTCGAGCCCTGCGTCGGGCTCTGTGCTGACAGCTCAGAGCTTGGAGCCTGCTTCGGATTCTGTGTCTCCCTCTCTCTCTGACCCTCCCCTGCTCACGCTGCCTCTCTCTCTCTCTCTCTCTCTCTCAGAAATAAATAAAACATTAAAAAAAAATAAGAGTCTGGTGCCGTAACCAACTGAGCTGCCCTGGTGCCCCCTTTTTTATTTTTTGATGTCTACCATTAGTAACACGTATAACATCTACGGTGTTTTGTGTCATATGTAAGGATATTGATGTGGATACCAGCAGACAATTCACATTGTGAACAGACAATGTACTTTTGGTGTCGAAACATACAGTGCTGTAAATGTATTCCCTCTTCCTCATGATTTTCTTAGTAACATTTTCTTATTTTCTAGCATGCTTTCTTGTAAGAATACATTATATAATACATATAACACACAAAATGTGTGTTAATTGCCTGGTATCAGTAAGGCTTCCAGTCAGCAGTAAGCTATCAGTCGTTAAGTTTTGGGGAATCAAAAGTTACATGCAAGATTTTTTACTGCACAGATGTCGGTGCCCTTAACCCCCACATTGTTTAAGGGTCAACTGTATGTACGATAAAATTCATCAATTTGAACTGTACCATTTAATGTGTTTTAACAAGTGTGTCCAGTAGCATAGCCACGACCATGATCCCTTCAGGCCTTGCAGTCAGCCTTCAGCCCTCCTCCTGGCTCAGGAAATCCCTAGTTTTGGAGAGCAGGAAGTTTGTGTGTGTGTGTGTGTGTGTGTGTTTAATGTGTATTTATATTTGAGAGACGTGAAATGGGGAGAGTGTGAGTGAGGGAGGGGAAAAGAGCTAGAGACCATGAGTCGGGGGGCGGGGGTTGTGGGGGAAACAGAGGGTCTGAGGCAGGCTCCACACTGACAGCACAGAGCCTGATGCAGGACTCGAACTCACAAACCTTGAGATCATGACCTGAGCCGAAATCGGATGCTTAACAGACTGAGCCCCCCAGGTGCCCCTGTCTGTTTAATCCATCGCTCTGTCCCCCGCTCCCGGAACTCTGGCACGTGTGAGGGCTTACTAGACCTCTGTCGGCTGAATGAGGCCATCACACATAGCTGCTTCAGTACGCCAATTCCACGGTTGCTAGGCAGCTTCTTGTTAAATGAAGGGTTCGAGAACCTGCCTTTCCTGCCCTAGTAAATGCCCCAGGCTGGCAAATGTTCCAGATGTTGTCACCTCTCTGCGGCCCTCCTGGTGAGCCCGTGGATGCAGATGTGGGGACGAGTGGGGGAAGGGGAGCAGAGAGCCAGAGAGCAGTCGCTGAAGTAGAGAGTCAGGGGGTGGGGATTCAGGGGGGCTCGGGGGTCGCTCTGAGAGCAGAGGAGGAGTCAGTAGGGTCCAAGCGGCTCAGGGTTTGTAGGGAAGCAGAGAAGTCAGTGGAGTGTGTTCAAGTCCAGGTGTGTTCCGAGGACACTAGATACAGGCTCGTGCGCCCCCTGGAAACCGCCTCGGCCGCCGATGTGCTCCGTGCAGGGCAAGACGCAAGCACAGGGTGGGTGCGGGTGATCCGCGGCGCAGGTGTTCGCTCCCCCTTCACTCCCCAAAGGAAGGCTGATGCTACTAGCAGGTGGAAGGGCGGCCTTTCCACATGGGCTTGTGGCCCCCAGACGGCGACTGCCCTTCTCTCGTTCCCGGTAGATGAGATTTTTCTCTCCTGGCAGAGAAATCATACTTTAAAAATATATTTTTATATATTCTGTTAATACATATACAGTTTTTTTTAAAGTATATTTATTTTGAGGGAGGGAGGGGGAGGGAGGGGAAGAGAGGGAAGGAGAGAATCCCAAGCAGGCCCCACATTCAGCTCAGAGCCCGATGCAGGGCCCGAACTCCTGAACCTGAGATCTGAGATCATGACCTGAGCCGAAACCACGAGTCAGATGCTTAACCAGCTGAGCCCCCCAGTCGCCCCTGCGTATACTGTTCTTTTTATGTCTGGTCGTGTGCGCGTATGGACCTGTGATTATAGTTATAAAAAACTGGATTTCTTGAGGGGTAAATGGGACAGGTGCATTATCCATGCCTGGTAAGTGGGGAAAGGATTTCTCCAAGGTCCCCCGTTGGTCCCAGGATCGGGACAGAGGCTGGCGCACAAGGCCTCCCTGTCCCGCGTCTGCCGCACCGTGTGGGCCTAAGGCGGCCGTGTCCCCACTCGCTCCCCCCAGGAGCCGCCTGCCTCCGAGTTCCAGAGCCTTCGTGCATCCTTCCCTCTCTTTTTTTTTTTTTTTTTTTACTGTTTTATTTATTTCTAGGAGAGAGAGAGAGACAGAGACAGAGACAGTGTGAGCAGGGGAGGGTCAGAGAGAGAGGGAGTCACAGACTGAAACAGGCTCCAGGCTCTGAGCTGGCAGTCAGCACAGAGCCCGACGCGGGGCTCGAACCCACGAACCGCGAGATCATGACCTAAGCGAAAGTTGGACGCTTAACTGACTAAGCCACCCAGGCGCCCCTCCATCCTTCCCTCTCTGATGTCTGCCCCCGTCTCACCCCCAGGACCTGGCCACCCCTCAGGCGTTTGCGCGAAACCCATCTCTGGTGTGGGAGTTCTATCACTACCGGCGGGAGGTGATGCTGAGCAAGGAGCCGAACCCCGGGCACCTCGCCATCGTAGAGTGTGAGGCCCGGCTGCGCAGGCAGGGCCGACGGCTCGCCGTCATCACTCAGAACATCGACGAGCTGCACCGCAAGGCTGGCACCAAGAACCTTCTGGAAATCCATGGTGAGGGGCCCTTGCATGGGGAGGGGAACCAGACTGCAAGACCCACGTCCTGCCGTTTCCCACCTGGACCCGCTGGGTCACGATCTGCATTTTGACAGGACACCCAGGCGTCTGGTGTGCGCGTGGCGAGGCAGAGACGCGAGGGCCCAGCGAGGCTGGCAGGAAATGGGAAGTTTGGGCCGTCGAACAACCAGGGCTTTAGCCGTAGCCGCCCGGGAAGACTGGCTTTCCTGGGGGTGGCCGTTTCCTTTCCTTCCTCCCCGGCTCGCTGTCTCCCCCGAGGCCGGGCCGCCCCCCAGCTCTCAACAGATCAGTGATGTCACTGCAGCAAGCCCGCGGAGTTTGTGACACCCGTGTGACACCCGTGCCCTTTGTCTTCCATCCCGCTGGCTGGCTTCCCTCCGCCCTTGATGACACCTTCTTTTGCCCTCACGTCCTCTCTAACCCCCTCCCTTCTCTGAGCTCGCCAGGAATCTCTTGACCACTACAGTCTCACAGTCGTTCACCCCAGAGCATAAACGGGCTGCAAGATTTTCTTCCCAAGGCCTTTGTATTTAAGGGCCTACAAAACTTCCAGCCCAAGGAATGCATTGCTAATTGTGGAATTTCCAGAAGTGGTGACTGGGGCTGGGGGGGGGGGGGGGGGACGGGAATGTGGCTCATTTTCCTGGGCGTGCAGTGAAGTTGCCCGTTTTTGCTGGGATAACGGAGACCGAGCATGGTTCGCTTGGGTCCCGTCTCTCTTTTGTGTCCTCGCCGTAGTCCTTCCCCCGCTGGGTCTGGGCCGGTGTCCATGCGGCGCCTCACCCTGTCGGAATACAGGCGGCGTCACTGCCGTGGATAAGGGTGGAAAACGGGGTGCTGACACCTGTCTTACTTGTTTGAAGGATTAAACGAGATGATGTGTGCCCGTTAGTTGGGATTTGGGGGGTTGTGAGCCGTACGAACTCTCTTTTTTTTTGTTTCTTTTTATTGTTGAGAGAGAGAGAGAGAGAGAGAGACGGTGGCGGTGGGGGGGAGAGGGGCAGAGAGAGAGGGAGACACAGACTCTGAAACAGGCTCCAGGCTCTGAGCTGTCAGCACAGAGCCTGACATGGGGCTCAAACTCATAAGCTGTGAGATCATGACCTGAGCCGAAGTCAGACACTTACCCGACTGAGCCACCCAGGTGCCCGGTACGAACTCTCTTCTAATTTAGGCAAAGACAAAAGCTCCTCTCATCAAACTAAAGCCGCCACCAGGTTACAACGTGTATCGTGTTTTCACTGTGAGCCTCCCAAAGGAAGTAGTCTGCCCCAGCTGCGACATTTTATTATCCCGAACATTGTTACTTTGCACTCACCGAGACAGCTTGAGAAAACTTAAAGTAGACCCAGGTTTTTAGAAAACAGATCATATAAAAAAACAAATATGAGTGAAATAGAGTGGTTGAGCTATTTCTCACGATCCAGCTCTCTTGAATCACTTCCCAGTGACCCCGAGGCATCAGTGTTTTCCGGGCGTGTTTTCCACGCTCTCCCCAAAAGGCTGCTCCCCTCTCGTGTCCGGGCTCCCTTCCCACCTGCCGACGTGCGTCTCGGAAGTCTGGTACTGGGCCTTCCTGGATCGACACCAACAGGGGTCGGTGGGAATGGTCCAGACAACAGCCAGAACTCGGTTTCCCTCCTCCAGTGGCCCTTCGGTGGTTTGTGGGCTGAAAAACCCAGGGGTTGCCCTGGCCCCAGCAGTGACAGCCACGTCCCCGTGCCTTTCAGCCGGCGGCGTTCTCCCGCGTCAGGTGGGCAAGCGCAGGCTCTGATGGCCACCTCACGTCCGTCCTCGGCCGGGTGACAGTGGTCAGACGCGTGCGATTCCGGGATTGCTCCCGTGGGGAGAATGGCCTTACAGGAACTGACAGAGCGGGGACGCTGTCCGAGAGAACCCAGGGGCCCCGGGCCGCAGCTGGGGCCGTGTGCCGCCTCCTCTTCCCTCCCCTCCCCCAGCTTTGTCGCCTTGGAGTAAAGCCTCACCTCTCCCCGTGGATGCCATCTGCCTCGCGCACCAGGCCAGCGAAGGGAGCCACTGGCCGCTCCGGGCACCTTGCTTGGCTCCCATACCTCCCCTATTTTTTAAAAAATTTTATTTAATTAATTTTTAAAAAATGTACATGCAAGTTAGCGTATAGTGCAACAGTGATTTCAGGAGTAGATTCCTTAAAGCCCCTCACCCTTTCAGCCCCTCCCCCTCCCACAATCGCCCCAGCAACCCTCTGTTTGTTCTCCATATTTGAGTCTCTTATATTCCATCACCTTCCCTGTTTTTTACTATTTTTCCTTCCCTTCCCTTATGTTTGTCTGTTTTGTATCGTAAAGTCCTCATGTGAGTGAAGTCATACGATATTTGTCCTTCTCTGACTAATTTCCCTTAGCGTAATACCTTCCAGTTCCATCCACGTAGTTGCAAATGGCAAGATTTCGTTCTTTTTGATCGCCGAGTAAGACTCCGTTGTATGTACACCACGTCTTCTTTATCTGTTCATCCATCGATGGACATTTGGGCTCTTTCCATACTTTGGCTTTTGTTGATGGTGCTGCTATAAGCACGGGGTGCATGAGCCCCTTCCAAACAGCACACCTGGATCCCTTGGGTAAATACCTAGTCGTGTGATTGCTGGGTCATGGGATGGCTCTACTTTTAATTTTTTTGAGGAGCCTCCACACTGTTTTCCAGAGGGGCTGCACCCGTTTGCATGCCCACCCGCAGTGCCCAAGAGATTCTCTTTCTCCGCATCCTCACCAGCATCTGTCGTTGCCTGAGTTGTTCATGTAGCCATTCTGACCGGTGTGAGGTGGTGTCTCACTGTGGTTTTGATTCGCATTTCCCTGACGATGAGTGCTGTTGAGCATCGCGCATACCTCCCTTTGACAGAAGGCCACTGTCAGAGGATTACAGTCCTGTGATTGGACCAGTCGGGAGCGTGAGTCCAGGCTTGTATTTTGGGATGGGACTGACAGCTCTGTCCGCTCAGGGGACAGAGGAGAGATGGCTCCCCGAGGAAGGGATACTGGACAGAATGGAGCAGTGGACGTCCACTCTGGCGTGTGCTGGGCTCAGCCAGCACTGGGCGCGTGATGAATACGTAGTGAGTCATGGTCACCGTCACTGGGTTAGCTCAATAAATGGTTGCTGGTTTTAACAACTATTTGCTTCATTTACTAGTTGCTTATTTGTTTATTGAGCTGCTATTGTAGAAAGATTCAAAGTTTGTTGAGTCGACGTTAGGAGTTTGTCAATACATCCAAAGTATTGAGCCTTCCTCAATCATGTAGCTCGTAACCGTGTGCTTAGGTTTACATTGGCTTCATGTACCCTACTGATGGCTCCAAGGCCGCCTGAACATCAGGGTCATTCAAGAGCTCCTTAATCATGTCGTATGCCGTCTTATCTGTCCCTCTCGTTTCCAGATTACAAAATCCAGGAGGCAGATGCCCTTGGCTCGGTAGAACCGCATGCCTGTGGGTTCCCCTCGACACCAAGGGCAGGTCCGTTTGTGCAAATGAATGAATAAAAACTATATTCTGTTGTACCCTTTTAGATGTGAAGATAGTCCCTCCTAATTCTATTGAATTCCGGTCTTGTTTAACTTGTGTTTTTCAGGTAGCTTATTTAAAACTCGATGTACCTCTTGCGGAGCTGTGGCTGAGAATTACAAGAGTCCCATTTGTCCAGCTCTCTCGGGAAAAGGGTAATGACATTGCCCTACAGAATGAGTGTACCTTGTTTTCTCTTTTAAGTTGAACATAAATGTAAGGAAATTGAACATTAGCCTAAGATTCCTGTGGATGTTTACGAGACATGAGACTAGATTACAGTACAGCCATAGGATAACAGAACTATTTTGCTCAAAATTTGCAATGCTAAGTGAAAACCGCAGGGCCTAACTCTTATCTAATATGATCTGAACTTTATATTTAAACACACACGCACGTGCACACCCATGCACACACACACGCACACCCCTTGTTGGTATACCCGTGTGTAGATAAAAGACCAGAAGAAAATACAACAAAGTATTAACAGTGATTATCAAGCGTGGTGGGGTTATGGGTAATTTTTAGTAGTTCTTTATATCTTTCTGGAATTTTCTAACATTTCTGTGATGAGCATGTACTGTTATAACTAGGGAAAAAATAAGAGTAGACTTGAAATATTGAGGAAACTTTTACCTGGTCATTTAAAAAAATTTTTTAAGATTTTTTAAAATGTCTATTTACTTGAGAGAGAGAGAGACAGAGACAGAGACAGAGAGAGACAGAGACAGACATGTGAGCAGGGGAAGGACAGAGTAAGACACAGAATCCAAAGTAGGCTCCAGGTGGCAAGCTGTCAGCACAGAGCCTGAACCAGGGCTTGAACCCACAGACCGTGAGATCATGACCTGAGCTGAAGTCAGACACCAAACCAACCGAGCCACCCAGGCGCCCCTAAAATTTTTTTAAAATTATTTTTATTTTAATTTTTTTTAGAGAGAGAAAGACAGCATGAGGGAATGGGCAGAGAGAGAGGGAGACACAGAATCTGAAGCAAGCTCCAGGCTCTGAGCTGTCAGTGTAGAGCCTGATGCGGGGCTGGAACTCATGAACCGTGAGATCATGACCTGAGCTGAAGTTGGACACTTAACTGACTGAGCCACCTTGGTGCGCCTTACTTGGTCATTTTATTTTATTTTTTTTAAATTTTGTATGTTTTATTTATTTCTGAGAGAGAGAGCAAGACACAGCATGAGCCGGGGAGGGTCAGAGAGAGAGGGAGACACAGAATCTGAAACAGGCTCCAGGCTCTGGGCTGGCAGTGAGCACAGAGACCGATGTGGGGGTTGAACCCACAAACCGTGAGATCGTGACCTGAGCCAAAGTCAGACACTTAACCGACTGAGCCACCCAGGTGCCCCTTACTTGGTCATTTTAAATCAGGGTAAATTGCACAGGTAGTAAATTAATCTAGTATCATTGTAGAAGATTCAAATTATGTTGTATACAGTCCATATCATGAAACTCCTGATGGCTCCATCCCCTCCCCATACACAGGTTCCATCTTGTGAGGTAAAGTCACTGGCCCTTAACTGGGGTCTGTCCTTCGGAACCCCTCTAAGTTAGCCTGCAATAACTATGTGAGTTTTGAACCGGATGCTGACGCACGTGTACAGACTCACTGGGTTACGTTACATCTCTGTTCTTCGATTATACCAGTGTTCTTGCTGCCTTTCTAACACCCTTTATTCCAGGGCTCCCGAACCTGAAGCTCAGGATGCCAGAATCCCAGTGGAGAAGCTTCCCCGGTGGGTAAAAATCCTTGATCCATGTTTGGTTTTCCAGATTACTAAAAAAAAAAAAAAAAAAAAGAACCACAGTCTAAGTTCATTTACTGAGATGCCTCTTACATGCACACATGCAGACACTAACCCTGACGTGTGAGGCCAGGGGCCAAAGGTTGAAGGTGAACCACACCCAGGCGAGGAGAACCACCCCTTTCCCGTCCCTTCCCACGTTGCACCGTGGTGGGATCATTTGAGGTCTGGAGAGTTTCCAGAGCTGTTATGGTGGTTTCTTGTGAAACTGTTAGCTGCTACTGTCTTCGTCCCCCTCCTCGTCATCGGTGTCATTAACTCAGGGTGAAGGGGGCAGTGAGAAGTCTTGCAAAGGTGAAATTATAGGACCAAACAGGATTAAAAAAAAAAAACAAAAAACCCTAGAGAAAAATTTTTGCATCAGATTTTCTCTTTTTTTTTTTTTTAATTTTTATCTATTTTTGAGAGAGACAGAACATGAGTGGGGGGAGGGGCAGAGAGAAGGAGGGAGACACAGAACCCAAAGCAGGTTCCAGGCTCTGAGTTGTTAGCACAGAGCCCGATGCGGGCCTCGAACCCACGAACCATGAGATCATGACCTGAGCCAAAGTTGGACACTTAACCAACTGAGCCACCCAGGTGCCCCTGTGTCAGATTTTCAAAAGCAGACATTACAGCAGCATTTCCCAAAGTGTTTTATAGAGCACTCGATCCATGTGACATTGATGGACGTTACCATAGATTAAACAAATTTGAAGTATGTTTGCTTTTCCGCAGGACTTCTCAGAGCATTTAATACACTAAAGTACACTGTTCTTTAAAGAATAGTTATTGTATGTTAATATTTCACTAGTTGATTTAACCACAGACCTCTATTTATTATTATTTAAAAAATTTTTAAATTTAAGTGTTTATTTATTTATTTTGAGAGAGAGAGAATGAGAATGAGTGGGGGAAGGGCAGAAAGAAAGGGAGAAAGAGACTCCCAAGCAGGCTCTGCGCTCTTAATGTGGAGACCGATGCAGGGCTTGATCCCATGACTGTGAGATCATGACCTGAGCTCAAATCGAGAGTTGGGTGCTTAACCGACTGAGCTACCCTGGCGCCCCAGAACCCTATTTATCATTCTTAATGAGGGTTTTCATTACTGAATTCTGAAGTTTGATCTAAAACAATAGGGAATCCTGGGCAGTTCTTGAGAAGATTATTTAAGATGAAAATGAGGTTCGGAGAGTTATTGTACAAGGTCTATGTAAGATGACCCACAGGCAGTGGGGAGTGGAAGATGAGAGGAAGATAGCGAACTTGGCCGTGGTCAGGACAAGAGAAAGGTGAACCTGAGGGAAAATGAAAGGGGGTCCCAGATGCGTCTAGCAGGTGGCTGGGGTGTTAGAGGCGGGGCTGAGCCTGGTGCCTCCGGGCAGCCATGCCGAAGGGTGAGATGAAGTAGCTGGGAGCTGGAAAGCTACGGTTAAGTCCCCACATCCCGCCGAGTCCACGTTGAAGATGCGGATGGCTTCATCCGAGATTCACAGGTCGGGCAGCGTCCCCTGCAGCAGGCAGAGAGAAGCTCCAAGGAGCTGCACATGATGGAGATGGTTCTAGGTGGGAGAGGCAGGGCAAGGAGGTTACTAGGGCGAAGAGGGAATTGTTTCGGGCAAGGTCACCTTCCTTCTGGGGAGCCTGGGGGTGTTTGGGGCGGGTTACCCCTCTGGTGCTGACCAGGTCGTTCCAGAGTGACTGGTTAGAGACCACATTCCCTGGAGAGGCTGGACGTGCCGCAAGGTTAGGTACTAAATCTTGGTTTGCTGATGTGAGGCTTAGCCCATGTGACTCCATTTTTGGGCCCATGGTCTCTCTTTAAAAAAAAAAAATTTTTAATGTTTATTTTTGAGAGGGAGACAGAGCACGAGGAGGGGGAGGGGCAGAGAGAGAAGGAGACAGAATCCTAAGCAGGCTCCAGGCTCTGAGCTGTCAGCACAGAACCAGATGCGGGGCTCAAACCCACAAACTGCGAGATCATGACTTGAGCCGGAGTCGGATGCTCAACCAACTGAGCCACCCAGGCGCCCCTCTCTTTTTAAATCCAGTTTAGAAAGAGAACGCTAAGGTTCACTGAAACACATCTGTCAACATGTCAAACCAGGGCATCCAGACAAAATAAAAACTTTATAAGGGCCGGAATGTTCGGAATAAGCTCACGTGGTCCAGAAGGGGAGGGATAGAGGATAAGAAGAAAGTGAGCGCCTTTCTGGACAGACTGGATTGGGGGCAGCCCCTAGCCTTCCTCTGGTCCAGTGGGGCAGATCTGGGAGGGCAGGGGTTAGGGTTGGGTGAAGGTTACTGTCCCTACAGGTGTGAAGAGACAGGGTGCCAGGGCCTGCTGCGACCCCATGTGGTGTGGTTTGGAGAAAACCTGGATCCTGCCATTCTGGAGGAGGTTGACCGAGAGCTGACCCTCTGTGACTTATGTCTAGTGGTAAGTCATGCCCGTCCCTGATCCTCGAGATTTTCCGGGAAAACCAGCACTGGGGTGGAGTCCGTTGTGTTTTTCATCTCCCCTTCCTTCCCTCTCTCTTCCCTTTCCTTCCTTCCTCCTCCTAATGTGTGTGTTGAGAGGTTTTGTACCCTACAGAAGAATTAAGAAACAATGAATACAGGGGACGCCTGGGTGGCTCAGTCGGTTAAGCATCCGACTTCAGCTCAGGTCATGATCTCGTAGCTGGTGAGTTGGAGCTCCACATTGGGTTCCGTGCTGACAGCTGAGCCTGGAGCCTGCTTCAGATTCTGTGTCTCTTTCTCTCTCTGCCCCTCCTCTGCTCACGTTCTGTCTCTCTCTCTCCTTCAAAAAATAAACATTAAAAAAAAAAAGAATGAATGAATGAATACTAGTTGGTCTTAAATGTGAAACTATGTAAGACCACGTCTTGGCCTTTGCAAAGACCTTCCCCTGCTGCCAAAAATAATGAAGAGAGCATGTAATTGGTCCTGATTTTGAAAGTAATTATTACATTTGAGAAAATAAAAAAAAAAGTGTGACATTACAAAGAGGAACTTAGAAATCACCAATAATCCTACCATCCAGACATAGCCACTGTTCATATTTTAGTATTTTTCCCCCCTAGATCAGAGGTGAGAAACTGTGGCTGGTGGGCCAGATCTAGGCTGCCACTTGTTTTTGTAAATAAAGTTTTATTGGAACACAGCCATGCCCATTCTTCTATGGATTGTCTGTGGCTGCTTCCACACTCCAGTGGCAGAGTTGACTCTTTGTGATGGAGACTGTATGGCTTCTAAATCCTGAAAAAATTACTATCTGGCCCTTTGCCGAAAAACATTTGCCCACTCCTGGTCTAGACCTTTTCTTAGGTGGATGTATCCATATGGTTAAAAATTCAAAAGTGGGTTCCTACTGTACGTTCTGTTTTGAAACAACTTGGTTCATGTAGCACTTCCGCGAGCATATAACGTGTCAGTACATCCACAGATGTGCCATCTTTTCACCAGTGGCATGGTGTTCTACCACGTGGATATACAATGATGTATTTAGCCAATCCTCTATTATTGGACGTTTAGGCCATTTCACATTTTTATATTTTAAATAATGCTGTAGTGAATATTCTTTTGTTGTTAATTTTTTTAATGCTTGTTTACTTTTGAGAGAGAGTGCGTGAGTTGGGTGGGGCAGAGAGCAAGGGAGACACAGAAACCAAAGCAGGCTCCAGGCTCTGAGCTGTCAGCACAGAGCCCGATGCGGGGCTCAAACCCACGAACCGCGAGATCATGACCTGAGCCGAAGTCGGACACTTGACCGACTGAGCCACCCTGGCGCCCCTGTGGTGAATGTTCTTGAATGTAACTCCATGCATGCCCTTCAAATCATTTTCTTAGGATGTATTTTTTAGAAGTGGAATTAATTGGACGGGGGTATGCATATTTCAGAGTTTGCTTAACATGTCTTTAAAAGCAGAAGCACGTTCTCATGGGTGCACGTTCGTTCAGACAGTATTTGGTGAGTGCAGCCCAATGTTTCAGTGCCCGTGTTCATCTCGAGCGCTTAAGTGAGAAAAGCTGGCTTGTACAGCGTGTGCTGGTCTTTCCGTTCTTGTAAAGCACATTTATAAATATGTATCTATAGGGAAATCCCTGAAAGGATATATATCAAAATGTGAACAGTGGTTATCATAGGGTAGCGGGATTATGAATGACATGAATATATTTTTTCTTTGAGTTTTCTAATGTTGAAAAAAAAAAAAAAGCACATGGGTCATTGGCATTACTTCACAGAGCCGACACAGAACCGGGCCATTGATCTGCCGTTCTCTCCATTGTGACCCTTTCCGCCAGCACGTTCTTCCAGTGATCAGCCGACAGGATGCCTCTTGCCCCCCCATCTGTGACTTGGAGGCTCTCTGTCTGTTTCATCCAGCCAGCTTTCCTCCCATCTTGTAACCCCAAACCAGCCTGAGTTTCCATAAGGTTTTCTGGAAGAATGCTTCCTCTCCCCGTAGGATGGTCATCTGTCCATTTCCGTTCGTTTGCTTTGTAGGTGGGAACTTCGTCCGTGGTCTATCCTGCCGCCATGTTCGCCCCACAGGTGTCTGCCCGCGGAGTGCCAGTGGCCGAATTCAACATGGAAACCACCCCAGCCACCAACAAATTCAGGTACAGGGACAAGGTGGGAGATGGCTGGTACTGAGCATGCTTAGACATGTCATCTAAACACATCTTACCTACTGTTCTAATTTAAAAAGAGAGAGACAGACAGACAGACAGACATAGACTATATGTTTTCTAACTTGGTCTGTAGTTTTAATGGAAGAACAAAATCTCCTGCACTGTCGACTAAGGTAGCTGTGTCTTTTTACAGGGAATTTGCCTTAGGGCTTTTGAGGTTCACATTTTGAAAATTCTTTGATTAGCATTTTGAAAGTTCTTTGAGTCCCTAGGCTTTGATTTCATTTGTATTTTTAACTGAGATTTAGCAATGGCGTTTGGGCGTAGGTGAGTTGAATACCCAGCACAGCCTGAGAGATGCCCATACACCTGCGTCGCTCTGTTCTCACTGTGCGGCGTCTTGGGTGAGCTCCTCTTTGGTCGAATTGCCAAATAATTGTCAAATTGCCAGATGTCCTCAATATGAGTCCTTGGGGCCGTGTCATGATATGGATCCCTTCTCCCGTACTTGTGTGGAAAGTGGAGACCATCAGAGTATGCGTTTTCAGAGTTCTGTTTTATCCTCACTTTCCTTTTGCCTTCTTTTTTCACCCTGACTATTGCATCTTCCCTTAGTTTATGTATTTTTACCAGTCTTCTTAATTCTTTCCTAGAATGAGGTAGAATGTGAATAACTCTTAAAGAAATATGAATAAATAAAATGGAAAATTTCACTGAAACTTAAAAATTTTTCTTAATTTTTTAATGTTTATTTTTTTTTGAGAGAGAGACAGAGCACAAGTGGGGGAGGGGCAGAGAGAGAAGGAGACATAGAATCTGAAGCAGGCTCCAGGCTCTGAGCTGTCAGCACAGAGCCCGATGTGGGGCTTGAACCTATGAACTGCAAGATCATGACCTGAGCCCACGTTGGACACTTAACCGACTGAGCCGCCCAGGCACTCCTGAAACTTCTGGTCATTAGTTCAGCCAGTAGTTTTCACCTCAGCAACATATTTTAAAAATACTGACGAGTGGGTACTCCCAGGAGACACTGATGTAATTGGCCTGAGGTGTAGTCTGGGCATCGTGACTTTTATCAGTTTCCTAAGAGGATTCTAGTGTGCAGCCAAGGTGAGAACCAGTGTTGTGAGTCTTCACTGGGATAAAAAAAATGTGCCACAGACTGTGGGACCCTCTTCGGGTGAGTTGACTTGAATCTAATCGGCTCCACGTCTTTTTAATCAGCTACAGTTCGTGTCCTCAGCCCGCCTCCTCATTTGTGCATAAGTGGTAGGAACTGGCAAGATGTCCCTTTAAAAAATTGCCTTCAATTATAAAACCGATTCTTTTTTTTTTTTAATATATTTTTTTAATGTTTTATTTATTTCTAGGAGAGAGAGAGAGAGACAGCGTGAGCAGGGGGGGGTCAGAGAGAGAGGGAGTCACAGACTGAAACAGGCTCCAGGCTCTGAGCTGGCAGTCAGCACAGAGCCCGACGCGGGGCTCGAACCCGCAAACCGCGAGATCATGACCTGAGCGAAAGTCGGACGCTTAACCGACTAAGCCACCCAGGCGCCCCTAAAACCGATTCTTTGGAAACTTCCCAGGAAAAGAAATATAGAAGATGAGAATATGTGGAAGGCCATTCACGTTCACATTCATGGACCAGACGAATTAATATTGTTAACATGGCAGTGTTCTCTACCTCGATTTACGGATACAGCTCGTCTCTCTCAAGATCGCAGCTGGCTTCTTTGCTAAAACGGGCAAGGTGATCCTAAAATCCATACGGAAATGCAAGGGACCCAGAACAGCCAAAACAAAAAGAACTGAAAAACTCACACTTTGCAAGTTCATCAGTTAACTTACCATGAAGTTACAGTTACGCAGACTGCATGGTGCTGGCATGGAGACGGACGCGTGGGCCAGCGGAGCAGAATTGAGAGTCCAGAAATACACCCTCAGGGTATGGCCGACCGATTTTTTGGAAAGGGTATGAAGACAATTCAGGGAAAGAACAGTCTTTTTAACAAACGGTGCTGGAGCAGCTGGACAGCTCCCTGCGAGAGAAGGCCTGGGACTCTTTCCCCACATCACCTACAGCGATCAGCCCAGGTGCATCAGAGGCCTACACATAAGAGCTAAAAGTATAAAATACTTAGAATATAGGAGTACGCTTTTTTGACCTCGAGTTAGTCAAAGCCTCCTTGACATGACATCAAAAGCACAAGTAACACAAAAAAATGGATAAATCGGGGGCGCCAGCGTGGCTCAGTCAATTAAGCGTCTGATTTTGGCTCGGGTCATGATCTCACGGTCTGTGGGTTCGAGCCCCACATCGGGCTCTGTGCTGACATCTCAGAGGCTGGAGCCCTGCTTCGGATTCTGTGTCTCCCTCTCTCTCTGCTCTTCCCCTACTTGTACTCTGTCTCTCTCAAAAAAATAAACGTTTAAAAAAGAAAAGAAAACATACATCTATACAGAAATGTATACATGAATGTTCATAGCAGCAGTGTTCAGAAAAATAAAAAAACAAAATTGAAAAAAACAAAAACAAGAAGAGGGGGTGCCTGGGTGGCTTAGTCAGTAGAGTGTCCAACTTCAACTCAGGTCATGATCTCACGGTTCGTGAGTTTGAGCCCCATATCGGGCTCTCTGCTGTCAGAGCAAGCCCACTTCAGATCCTCTCTTTCCTTCTCTCTCTGCCCCTCCCTGGCTTGTGCTCTCTCTGTCTCACATTAGAAAAAAAAAAAGAATATCAGAATCCTCCAAGAATGGGATAGGACAAACTTTCTTTTCTTTTTTTATTTTTATTTTTTAAATTACTTTGAGGTGGAGGGGTGCAGAGAGAGAACGAGAAAGAATCCCAAGCAGCCTTTGTGCCATCAGCACGGAGCCTGACTTGGGGCTTGATCCCACAAACTGCGAGATCATGACCTGAGCCAAGATCCACTTTCTGAAGGAGGTGCCCTGGGAAAAACTTTCGAAGGAGGAAGTGAGCTACATCCCCAGTCCCTGTCTTCTATGTGCTTTATTTTCCACCCTATGCTCTCCAGCTCACCTCTAAGAAGTATAAAGACTGAAAACAAATCATCATGGTAGAAAAGTAACAAAATTCAGCTAGGGGGAAAAAAGAAGAAAATAAAAGCAGAGCGTTTGCACAAGCCAGGGGCTGGCGTCTACCTTCCGTGTCCTGGGCTGACCAGCAGGGACTGGCATGCGTTGTGTGTGTCTTCGTGTGAGGGGCCATTGAACTTGGTAGTTTTCCCTGCACGTTAGAAGAGAATCCTGGTGTATAATAATATCATTTCATAAGTTGGGCCTCTTAAACGACAGACCCCATTCGGCTGCTGCTGTCTCTCAGCTCAAATCGTTCAGCTTCACCTCCTAAAACTCTGTGTGTCTCCTTTCAGACAGAACGGCCACTTGCCAGTTAGCAACTTTGGTCAGAACGGACAAGCTAGCCATTGACCGGCACCTACCCCAAGAGCCACCTTCTGTGGCTTCTCTGATGGCTGCGGCTGTCTGTACCACAAAGTCTGGGAATTTTCCCAGCTGGGTGTAACTGACCGGCGAAGACAGTCGTGTTTTTATCTAGGAGTCATCAAAGGTGACATTTAGAAGAGACACAGGTGATTTTCTTACCCCTTCGCAACTTTCCAAACAGGGGGCCAGGGCTGGAGCGATGACGGGTTCGAACACGCTGCTTAACAAGGGCAGGATTGTCTCTTACGGCTCATGCGTGGTAGACGTGGGGTGAATTTGACTCTAGGTCAGTGCTCAGCAAACTGCTTCCTGTAGGCCAAATTTGCCCCGCCATCTGTATTTGTAAATAAAGTTTTATTGGCACTCGGCCATGGCCCTGTGTTTCCGTCTTGTCTGCGGCTGCCTTTGCACTGCTGAGTCGTTGCGACAGAGACAGTCTGGCTTAAAACACGCACTCTCCGGCTCTTCACGGAAAAAAAGTGTGCCAACAGCGGCTGTAGGTTAATGAGACAAACCAAAACTGGAATAGTATTTCCTTTTAACCGAATTTTCTTTATTACCTAAATGGGGGAGGGGGGGCCGGAAAAGGGGCTACACTCTGGACATGGATCTCACTGGACATCTGAGATCGAGCACAAGTCGCTTAGATTCTTTGCCCCCATTCTCATTTACAGACCAAGTGACAGATTTTGCCTCCCACAGAAATGTATTAATATTCTCAAGGCATTAATTAGCTCCAGTGTTTGTCATTGTCGCCATCCCGATGGTGGTCTCGGGTGATTTCTGGCAAGCCATTACGGCTGGTGTAGACGCGAGCCGTTTTCAGCTTCAGCTAGGGGGTTCAGACTGTTTGCTCAGCCCCTGGGTCCTTGGCACGTGAGGGACTGTGCCTTTGCTGAGGCAGAGATGAGGTCTGCTCCTCAAGAGGCTGGCGTGCTGGGCCTTCCAAGTACCTGGCCCCCACCCCCCACCCCGTGCCTTGTGATCTCCATGTTGTTCATCTTGGTATGTCTCTAAACTTCGGAATTTAGTCGAAGTGCACAGATATGTATTTACTAAGCATCTAGGATGCCCTAGACACTGCCCCAGGTGCTCGGGCTGGGATGCATCAGTAAACAAAGCAAAAAGTCTCTTGCGTGAAGGCGGCACTAGTGGTGGAGGCAGACTGTAAGCTGTAAAGCAGGATAGACGTGCAAGTGCCGTAGCAGGTGAACCGGGCAGAAAGCGGAAGTCAAATTGGCGGGGAGCCGACAGGTTGCAGGATTCAGTTGAGTGGTCAGGGCGAGCGCACCGAGGAGACTTCTGAGCGGGCTTGCGGGCGGTGAGGGGGTGAGCTAAGGGCACCGTGTGGCTAAGAGCTGTCCAGACACAGGACCACCTGGAGCAGAGACCCTGATTCCCACCCCCACCAGGACAAAGCAGGGCCTGGGGGGTGTGAGGACCAGCACTGAGGCCAGTGTGGCCGGAGTAGGGGGAAGGAGGGTGAAGATGTGGTCAGTGAGGTCAGGAAGTAGCACGTTTTCCGGGGGGGGTGGTGGTAATGAAAGAAAGTGAACTGCCAGTAGCAATTAGAAGTCTAAGGAGCTCTTAGCTCGAAGGTGGTTTTATAGGGGCACCTGGGGGGCTCAGTCGGTTAAGCGTCCGACTTCCGCTCAGGTCATGATCCTGCGGTCTGTGAGTTCAAGCCTTGCGTTGGGCTCTGCGCTGACAGCTCAGAGCCTGGAACCTGCTTCGGGTTCGGTGTCTCCCTCCCTCTCTGACCCTCCCCTGCTCACGCTGTCTCTCTCTCAGAAATGAATAAAACATTTAAAAAAATGTTAAAAAAGGTACACGTATATGCCTTCGTAAAATATACTTAAAGATGCCCAGCGAGATTTAATTTTATTTAATTAAAAATATGTACACTTAGAGCAAAACTACATTCATCTGGTTCGTTTCGCTTTGCTCGATGGAGCCGAAGGCCTTTTCTCTGAGCGGGGGCCCTGCTGATTACGCAGTTCGCCTTTCTTGCACAAATCATGCTCTTAATCCTCCCAGTCACTGCCCCCCCCCCCCCGCCCCTGCAGATAAAAATCACCCTAGGCGTTAGTTTGTAAAACGAAATGGACAACCAAAACACAATCAGGTCCCAAGGCCTGACCTACACATCCTGAATCAGAATTTCCAGGGCGAGAGGAGTGTTTGTTTACTAGACCAGCTGCCAGGTGACTCTTCTCATTAGGGAGTCTTGGAAGACCCTGGGTTATAACCTCTGTTTGGGTATTTTTCTGCCCTTTGTTTTTTTCTTCTTAAAAGTGGGGCAGGAACTTACAGAAAAGGAATTCATGAAGCAGGCCCCCCCCCCCAGTCCTTCCCACCTACGCTAATTAACGGAATTAACAGAATTATTTTTAGGGAACTGCCGTGCCTTTCCAAAGCGTACAAGATATTTTCCTAGGAATAACCCTCTCTTAACAACTATGTTTTGGGGCTTTATTGCATAATTTTTACTTTAAGTTGATAATTATGCTAACCGTTAGAAGCGGCATGAACAGATTCCGGAACAAACACAGTAGACCCGGTCACCCTGCTGCTGCTGGGGGGTTGGGGGGTGAGAAGAGTGCTACAACATGAGTCTTCAAGCACTTTTGTTCACGTAACTCTTTCACATTTTTAAACGTGACATGTGAACTTTCGTATCTGAATCCGGTAAAACCTTGGATCGCGAGTAACTTGTTTTGCGAGTGTTCTGCAAGACGAGCAAATGTTTCTAACAAACTTTAACTTGATAAACGAGCGATGTCATGCGGCACGACTCATACGTGATGGGAACATCCCATGATCACAACTGAGCCAATGGTTCTTGAAATCCGCTTTGATATACAAATGCTTTGGATTACAAGCGTGTTTCCGGAACCAATTATGCTCGCAAACCAAGGTTTCACTGTAGTTGAAAACCATGTGATTCTAGGTGTATTAGAAATCAAATACTGACATGTTATAGTAAAAATGCGTTATAAAAAATCCATTATCATGGCTTTATTTATTTATTTATTTATTTATTTTAATGTTTATTTTTGAGAGAAAGAGAGAGAGAGAATGGGAGCAGGGAAGGGGCAGAGAGAGAGGGAGACACAGAATCCAAAACAGGCTCCAGGCTCTGAGCTGTCAGTACAGAGCCCGACACAGGCCTTGAACTCACCAACCACAAGATCATGACCTGAGCCGAAGTCGGACGCTTAACCGACTGAGCCCCCAGGCGCCCCATCATGGTTTTAAGTGTATCCAGTCTGAGTGTCACAACTGCTTGATATCCACCATCATCTATTTACACAATAGATATACAAGCCCTTTTCTTTTAGAAATTTTTTTTTCTTGAGAGAGAGAGAGACAGCAGAAGCAGGGGGGAGCAGAGAGAAAGTGAGAGAGAGAATTCCAAGCAGGCTCCCCTCTGTCAGCATAGAGCCTGATATGGGGCTTGATCTCATGAACCATGAGATCATGACCTGAGCCACAATCAAGGTCAGATGCTTAGCTGACTGAGATACTCAGGTGCCCCCCCTTTTAACAACCTTCATGTTTTCTTCTTCTTCTCTTTGAATTTGTATTTTCTATCCTACTTTCACTACAGAAATTTATATTAATGTAATATATGTTTATGCTTAAAAATCTTTTGTTAGCTATAT